ACTTGTTATAAGTCTGGTGTGGAGGAATTCTGGCCAACTCATCTTTGCGTTTTCGAGCATAAATTGCCTTTTAAAGTCATGCCACGGCATCTCAATAGGATTCAGTTTAGGACTTGACTAGGCCACTCCAAAGTTGTTATTATCTTAATAGGATTCAGTTCAGGACTTTGACTAGGCCACTCCAAAGTTGTTATTATCTTAATAGGATTCAGTTCAGGACTTTGACTAGGCCACTCCAAAGTTGTTATTATCTCAATAGGATTCAGGTCAGGACTTTGACTAGGCCACTCCAAAGTTGTTATTATCTCAATAGGATTCAGTTCAGGACTTTGACTAGGCCACTCCAAAGTTGTTATTATCTCAATAGGATTCAGGTCAGGACTTTGACTAGGCCACTCCAAAGTTGTTATTATCTTAATAGGATTCTGTTCAGGACTTTGACTAGGCCACTCCAAAGTTGTTATTATCTCAATAGGATTCAGTTTAAGACTTTGACTAGGCCACTCCAAAGTTGTTATTATCTTAATAGGATTCTGTTCAGGACTTTGACTAGGCCACTCCAAAGTTGTTATTATCTCAATAGGATTCAGTTCAGAACTTTGACTAGGCCACTCCAAAGTTGTTATTATCTTAATAGGATTCAGGTCAGAACTTTGACAAGACCACTCCAAAGTTGTTATTATCTCAATAGGATTTAGGTCAGAACTTTGACTAGGCCACTCCAAAGATGTTATTATCTCATTAGGATTCAGTTCAGAACTTTGACTAGGCCACTCCAAAGTTGTTATTATCTTAATAGGATTCAGGTCAGAACTTTGACAAGACCACTCCATGTTGTTATTATCTCAATAGGATTAAGTTCAGGACTTTGACTAGGCCACTCCAAGTTGTTATTATCTCAATAGAATTCAGTTCAGGACTTTGACTAGGCCACTCCAAAGATGTTATTATCTTAACAAGATTCAGGTCAGGACTTTGACTAGGCCACTCCAAAGTTGTTATTATCTCAATAGGATTCAGTTCAGGACTTTGACTAGGTCACTCCAAAGTTGTGATAATCTCAATAGGATTCAGTTCAGGACTTTGACTAGGCCACTGCAAAGTTGTTATTATCTCAATAGGATTCAGTTCAGGACTTTCACTTGGCCACTCCAAAGTTGTTATTATCTTAATAAGATTCAGGTCAGGACTTTGTGCTTTGTGCTTTGTGCTTTGGATTATTGTCCTGCTACAGAAACTAAGATTGCTTCAGCCTGAGGATATTTTAATACACAGCAAAATGTATGGTTCTATTTATCACAGCAAGTCTTCTAGGTCCTGAAGGAGCAAAACTTCCCCCAGACCATCACACTACCACCACCACTACATTTTATTGTTGGTATTATGTTTTTTTTTTTTCTGAAATGCTTTATTACTTTTACACCACACATAATGAGCCACACACCTTCAAGAAAGGTTAACTTTTGTCTTGTCAGTCCACAGAGTATTTTCACAAAAGTCATGGGGATCATAAAGATGTTTTCTGGCAAAACAAAGACAAGCCTTTATGTTCTTTTTGCACAATCTTGGGACCATTTTTTAGCCAGTGTATAACTTATAGCGGAGTCATGAACAGTTCAGGCCTGCAGTTCATTGTATGTGGTTTTCGGGTCTTTTGTGACCTCTTGGATGAGCTGTTGCTGTGTTCTTGGGGTAATTTTGATCAGCTGGCCACTCTTGGGTAGGTTCTCCACTGTTCCATGTTTTTGCCATTTGTGGATAATGGCTCTCACCATGGTTTGCTGCAGTCCCAAAGCTTTAGAAATGGCTTTATAGCCCCTTCCAGACTTGTAGATCTCATTTGTTTTTTGAGTTTCTTTGGATCTTTGCGTGATTTTGAGGATCTTTTGGTCTACTTCAACTTGTCAGGCAGATCCTGTTTAGGTGATTTCTTGATTGTGAACAGGTGTGGCAGTGATCAGGCCTGGTTGTGTGGCTAAAGAAATTGAACTCAGGTGTGATAAACCAGAGTTATGTTTTAATGGGGGCAAATACTTTTTCACACAGGGCTATGTAGTTTTGTATTTTGTTTTACCCTTAATAATAAAACCTTAATTTAAAATGTGCATGATAGTTTACTTGTGCTGTCTCTGACTAATATTTAAATCATAGCAACAACAGCAAAAAAAGTGAAGCGAGAGCATCCAAATTCTGGCCATGCACGTTGTTTATATAGTTAGTTGTGTATTATTGAGTGTTACTCTGGATTCCACCTTGCTTGACTGCAGATTGTAAAGTATTATTTGACTCTGGGTATCTGGAGTCAGCAGAGGCCGAGGCTCAGAGTAATGCTTCTGGACAGAGCCGGGGAAAAGGTCTTCTGCTCATCGGGACTCAGATATATTTAAAGATTTACAGAGCTCTGCTTTAACTCCCAATGACACGGCATTAGAGCTAATGGCAGAGGAAATGGACATTACTATTCATGAGGAATGTTATTATTTATTTCAGTAATGTCGTAATAATTATAGCATCAGCATAACCCGCTAAACCCATTCAGACTAACGGCAGCTCTCCAGCCAAGGTGGACTTGACTTTTACAGCGCTTTTTTTTACCACAGCAATAGAAATCAGAAAAGAAGATAGTAGACCACTAAACATTAAAGCAGAGGAGAAATCAGAAGCACCCCTGTGAGAAGGATAGTAACAGCAGAATGCTTTTGAGGTGCTGATGAATGTGCTGTAAGATGTGTGTGTGTGTTTGAGTGTGTGTGTGTACTTGTTTGGGTGATTTACAAGGATACATTGTTATGACCTTGGTTAGGGTTGCACGATATTGGAAAAATCAGACATTTCGATGTTTTGCTATTCTGGGATATTTATTGCGATATGATTACAGTTTCACCAGGTGACTATTTAAAAGGAATCGATCATTTATGATAGCTTGGGGTGATTCTGTAGTGGGTGTTCATCTGCATAAAATAGAATCAACAATCTATAAATACAATAATGCAATAAAGATAAACAGTGTTTGATTGTTTTCGGAGTCTAACAGTATCAAAATAAGTACAATTCAATAAAATTGAATTGCTGACTGGTGTGATATGAATTGTCTTAAATTAAACACTAGTAAGACCAAAGAAATTATTGTTGATTTTAGTAGACATCCATCACAAGCGGTGCCCGTAATTATACCCGAGTCAGAAATTGAGATCGTTTCGTCATATAGGTACCTGGGTGTATATTTGAACAACAAGCTCGATTGGTCTGAAAACACAATCCAGGTGTATAAGAAGAGTCAGAGCCACATTCATTTATTAAGACGACTGAGGTCCTTTGGTGTGTGTCAGACTCTGTTAAAAACTTTTTATGACTCTGGTGTCTTCTGTGATTCTGTATGCTGTAACCTGCTGGGGAGGGGGACTGTTGGAGAAAGAGAAAAACGAATTAAATAAGCTCATAAAAAGGGCAGGTTCTGTTGTGGGGTGTGCACTACCTACCATAGAAGAGATTGCACAGGATCGAATGCTGGACAAATTCGTTAGTATAATGAACCACGATAGTCATCCCCTTTTTGATACAGTCCAAGCGTGTGCAAGCTCTTTTAGAACAAGATTAATTCAACCCCGGTGTTACAGAGAAAGATACAGGAAGTCTTTTTTACCAACAGTAATCAGATTGTACAACCAAAGTCATACCAGATGAATTGTGCTGCACTTGAATTAGATATTAGATATGTACAAGTGTTTACTCGTTGTTTTTGGAACCAAGGTGTGCAGTATGAAATGTAATTTTATTATTTTTTTATATGTATGTAACTTATTTATCTATTTTTAGTATGGAGAGCTCTGCTGTGACATGTGAATTTCTCTCCGGGGATTAATAAAGTCAAACTAAAAAAAAACAACTAAAAACTAAAATTAATTGTTATTGAAGCTTTTACAGTCACAAGTCTCAAAAACACATGCAAATGTACATTTGAATACAAGGTTTACGAACCCAACATTGCATGTTTTATAATGTGACTATTGCGAATGATATCATTGTGATATTGATGGTAAAATGCTAAATTGTGCAGCCCTAACCTAGGTATTACAATGTTAAAGTGGTTTGTGAGGACATGTTCTGTGTCCTCATAATTCAAAATGCTTAAAAATCATACTTTTAATAGGGGGTTTGACATTAGGATGGGCTGTATCCTCTGGCAGTTGGGTTTAGGGGTCTGGCCATATAATAAGTGTTTTTTTTAAATAATTATACAGTCCCAAGCCTCAAAAACACATGTGAATGTACATTTTAATACAAAGTTTACAAACTCAACATTGCTTATCCTGTGATTTGATTATTGCGAATGATAACATTGCAATATTGATGCTGTAATGATAAATTTTGCAGCCCTAACCTAGGTATTAAAATGTTAACGTGGTTTGTGAGGACATGTTCTGTGTCCTCATAATTCAAAATGCTTAAAAATATTACTTTAAACAAGGGATTTTGACATTCAAGATGTGCTGTTTCCTGTGAGGGTTGGGTTTAGGGATGGGGCCATATAATGCGTGTTTTTTTAACTGCATACCATATCTTACATTTAAACCTTTTGAGGATCTTTTGGTCTACTTCACTTTGTCAGACAGGTCCTGATTAAGTGATTTCTTGGTTGCGAACAGGTGTGGCAGTAATCAGGCCTGGGTGTGGCTAGAGAAATTGAACTCAGGTGTCAAAAACTAAAGTTGTTTTAACAGGGGGGCAAACACTTTTTCACACAGGGCTATGAAGTTTTAACCTTCATTCAAAAACTGCATGATGTGTTTACTTGTGTTGTCTATGCCTAATATTTAAATTAGTTTGATGATCCAAAACAATTAATTTTGAATAAAGGAGAAATCATATATATTATGTATGATTGATAAAGTGATAAATCATAAAAAGCAACTTGTGTGTGTGTGTGTGTGTGTGTGTGTGTGTGTGTGTGTGTGTGTGTGTGTGTCTGTCTGTCTGTGTCTGTGTGTCTATGTGTGTAGGGATGAAGCAGCTGTCTCCTCCCCCGCTGAATCTAAAGCACCTCTATGAAGAGACTCTGGAGACAGAGCCGGTCCTGCTCATCATCTCTGCTGGTGCAGACCCGTCTCAGGAGCTCCAGGAACTTGCCGGAAACATTGTGGGCCGAGAAAATTACCATGAGGTCCTGCTACTTCACAAATATAGTTTTAGAGCTCGTATTTGAATGATTCTTTAGCGTAATGTCTAAAGTGATGACAAAACAGATGATTTGGCTGACATTTGAAGATTATAAGGCTGAACAGCATGAAATGCCCTCAGTCTACAGAGATTTCCCAGTATTTCTCTGTTGCAATTGGGAGATCACAATAATTAACCCCAAAAAAGCCAAAGCAAAGCAAAAACTAGCAGATTACTGTAGTATAAATACAGCACTACAACATACAAAAGAGAGAGATCGACCTAGAATGTCACTTATCAGTTTTATAATGGTTGATTCATCTGTAGTTTGAAATCACGTGATGTATATATATATATATATACATATATATAACTAACTAATGCAATCTGCACTCAAAATAATTGAATATTAATCAGATGATGTTATTGCGCTGCTGTGCCGTCATCATTTAGAGGATTGATAGATCAGTCCTTGTTTGAAGAACCTAATTAGCCAGAGTTCGGTTATCAAGATGAACAGATTCAGGATCTGCCAAATCATCTTATGGTGCTTTTACACCTGCCTTATTTAGTTCGATTGAATCGCACTAGAGTTCGTTTTCCCTCTTGGTGCGGTTCGTTTGGGCAGGTGAGAATACAGCAATCGTACTTGTGCGGACCAAATAAGCGTACCGAGACCTGCTTGAAGAGGTGGTCTCGGTACGCTTTCAAACGAACCCTGGAGCGGTTCGTTTGTGGTGAGAATATGATCCGTACTTAAACAGGTCCAACCACAAAAAGTTCTGTGCGTTTTGGACTAATTCAGCTGCCGTAGGCCGATGCGCTGTGCATTATGGGATATGGAGGAAAAATATTTATTGACAGCGCTCTACCAACAGGGAGAGAGAGAGGAAACATTACCTGATGGATCGTTGGTAATATTTCCGCAAGATGACCATGTCACAGTTTAGCTAAATTAATTCACGTCTCCTCCTGAAGTGACGAGCGATGCATTAAACACTGTTTTCCAGCCGCGGCCGCGCTTCATTTTCGTAATGTATAGTTTGTCTAAAGCAGTGATACAATCAGCCAGCGCAGTCGTCTCTCCAGAGTAAAAGGTTTTGTTTACCTGCAGGAGTTTATTGGCATTTTCCCGCACCTGAATTCTGACCAATCAATAAGCAGTTTAGGAAATATGTTCAACAACATCTGGCCAATGAGAGATGTGGATTTTGTCAGATGACTGCATTTTGGTTCATTTTAACTGGTTCGGACCAAAGCAATCAGTGTGGTGTGAAAACGACCCAAAGACGGCAGAAAATGCAACAATGTATCATTTATTGTGCTTGGTCCAGACCAAATGAAGCCAACTACAGATGTGAAAGCACCCTTAGATCGTTTAAGCGAGGTACGAAGAACAGACCCCAGCTTCCAAATAATCCAAATATAGAGTCCAAACTTTGATAAAAAATTCTATTTTTTGTGTAAAACATGTTTTTGTGTAAAACATTAACTCAAAATATCTTGTGCCAACATTTAAGTGATGGAGATGTGTCACTAATCCAGTTAAGTAAAATATTTTTTTCTGGTGGCAAAGGTTAATATATTATACAATTTCTTATTAGCTGATAAAAAAAATGTGCCAATTAGGTATCAAAATCAAAACGGCATGTTAAAGATCTTTTCCATTTCTCTCAGCACCAAAGACCAAAACCTTTCAGTCTGTTACATGACCACATACAATGTGTTAAAGTACCCACATCAGTTTTACATTTTAAACACATAGGGCTCTATTTTGACGGTCCATGCGCAGAGCGCAAAACACATGGCGCAAACGCTTTCAGGGCGTGTCAGATTGCATTTTTGCTAATTTAAGGACGGGAAAATCCGCTTTACGTCATGGCGCATGGTCTAAAAGGGTTGAGTTTATTTTCTTAATGAGTTATTGGTGTGTTTTGAGAATAAACCAATTAGAGTCTCATCTCCCATTCCCTTAAAGAGCAGCTGCGTCACGCCAAGAGCGCATTCACTATTTACAGGACGCAAAGTAAGTCTAAGTGGAAAAAATTAGCATTTCACAAGCAAACAGTTCACAGAAAACAGTTAAACAGAGCATCTACTGCGTGAGAATGAGAGATAATGGATCTACTTTCACATTCGCTCTTGGATAGGGAAACATTTACGCACAGACATCAATTAGCCTATAAATAAATACTTTTGTTTGTTAAGCGCAAATATTCGTTTCAAAACTATTTCTAAATTCAGTTCGAATTTCCAGCAAACGAATAAATGAACAATAATAACAAAATGTGCTCAAAAACCTGAGTTATATCCTAAAACACATGCTGTGCCCCATATGGTCTAAAACCTGACAGGTGGACAAATCTGAGCTTGTTTTTAATAAAACAAATATAAATATGGATATAATAAATAATACTGCTAATAATAATAACATTATACAAAAGCAAATTGTTATGAATGAACTGAAAAAGCCTCCCGAGATGAAGAAGGCATAAAAGCAGTGATTTTTCATATTTATGTAGGCTAGAAAATAATATGTTTTGTCATATTTTAATCCTTTATATTTATATCCTATATCTATTCTTATTATATCCTATATATATCCTTAATTTTAATTTTTTTTTTCATATGTAAAGATATTTGCCTATTGCTCTCTTGTGTGTATTAAGCAGTGTGTAAGCGAGGGGCAACTCTGCGCTGGAGTTTAGACCGGGTTAGTTTTGGTCTAATGAAAAATCTATTATAGATTCTCAAAATAGCAATGCGCCAGCGGTCCGCCTCAGAACGCTTCCTTTTTAGACCAGAACACCTTTGGGCGCACAAATGAGCGCAAATGCATTTGCTATTTAAACAGCGTAGCGCAACGCCTCAAAACCACTCTTGCGCCAAGCTGAAACTACCAAAAGACTACTGCGCCGCGTCTTGCGCCACATTGCGCCGGGTGTATGATAGAGCCCATAGGCTTAAATAGATGTCTGCGGTTAGGGGAGATATGGAGTCTTTCTCTTGTACATTTATACTACATGTACATATTGTCTTAGCATTAGACCAAATATCGTCCCATGTTTCCTCATCAATATCAGTATCCAACTCGTCCTCCCATTTGATTTGATTTCGTCTGCCTCTTTTAATGCGTGTTGTGCAGGTGGCGATGGGTCAGGGTCAGGCTGATGTGGCTCTGCAGGCTCTCAGAGAGTGTGTTCGCTCAGGTGATTGGCTGTGCCTAAAGAACCTGCACCTGGTCACAGCATGGCTCCCCCTGCTGGAGAAGGTGAGAACGCTCTGTCCGTCTGTCTGTCTCTGAAATGAAACAGATTTCTAGGTCTTATATCATTTGGGAAGTAATCAATTTGAAATATTTGCATATATTTAAGCATTCAGTGTCATTTAAACTATTGTTGGGAATTCAAAAGATCTTTAATAAAAGGGATCCTTCACCCAAAAATGGAGATTCGAGTGGTTATAAGCCCTTAATGAGTTTGTTTCTCCTGTCGAACACAAAAGAAGATATTTTGAAGAATGCTGAAAACCTGTAACCATTAACTCCCATAGTAGGAAAGCAAATACTGTGGAAGTCAATGGTTACCGGTTTCCAACATTCTTCAAATGATCTTATTTTGTGTTCAACAGAGAAAATAAAGTCAAAACGGTTTGGAACAAGTGAAGGGGCGAGTAAAGCATGACAGAGTTCTCAATTGTGGGTGAACTGTCCCTTTAAGTTCTGTCTCTCCTCTGCCTGTCTGTCTTCACTGTTATCTTGGCTGTGTAATTAATTATAGCTGAAATGACTTGTTGTAAAGTTAGAGTGAGGTTGTGTGTGTGCGTGCCTGCGTGTGTGTGTGTGTGTGTGTGTGTGTTTTATGAGAGAGGAAGATTACTTGCAGATACTTTAATTGCTTTTTGTTTTCATTTTCTCTGCTCTTCTCAGAATGTGTGTGTGTGTGTGTGTGTGTGTGTGTGTGTGTGTGTGTGTGTGTGTGTGTGTGTGTGTGCGTGCGTGTGTGTGTGTGAGAGAGTTGTATAGCACTGCATATTTGTAATAGCTTTGAGTTGTTCAGACGAGGCTGTGAGAGAATGAATTCCTCTAAAACAAACAGCGAAGCGAATGTTATTGGTTTGATGGTTTTGCATTCATTGATTTAATTTGTTGTAGCGAGATGTAATGTGTGTGTTATTTCTAATGTGTTTTGCGTGTGCAGGAGCTCAACAGCATGAAACCCAAAGCTGGATTCAGGCTCTGGTTGACTGCTGAAGTGCATCCCAAATTCACTCCCATACTGCTCCAGTCCAGCCTGAAGATCACCTATGAGGTCAGTGTGCAGGCTTCATGCTGTTTTTGATAACGGTGATTAAATAATATTATGCTAAGTGTGATTTTGAGCTGGTTTCAGCTATGCAAGGCATTAAGAAAAGAAAATGCTTTGCCCTTGTAATCTTTATTAAAATCTGAAAATGCACTTCCTGTTTGTGTTTAGTTAAATTGTGAGGTATTGGGCGGGGCTAACATATTTAACCACGCCTCTTCCGCTGTCAGTTTTGACAACAAACAGAAACGGTGAGGAGGAGGAGTCTGTTAGGTTGTAATAAGGCCCAATCCCAATTCTGTTTTTGTACCCTTCCCCTTGGAGTGTGAAGGGGAAGGGCTTCAAAATTTCCCCCTAAGAATTGGGACAGCACTAAAACACCTGCACACATCATCATATGTCATCGTGATCTCTTGCTTTATATGAGATCAGACGATCGCGACTGCTGGAGTTATTCCAGTTGTGTTATTTTCTGGTATTTAGTTTCAGGAAATCACTGAAGGCATATTTCATGTTATTGTGACGATCTAATTTGGCAATAAGATCGTAACAGTACTGTGTATTTACACAGTGGCCATATTCATTGATGTAAACACACCAAAACAACATGAACATTATGGCAGACACTGTAAAAAGGTTATTGCCAGCCACTAGACTTTTCTGACAGGGGATTTCAGTGTCATCGAGTGTCAGAATGTTGTGGGACTGCTGTACAGGAGTTATGATTAGGGATTATATACAGCTAAATTTAACGTTTTTATTTTTTTTAAAGCATGACGGTAAAACATGAACGCGGTTATGAATATATTAAAACATGTTATTGTCTGTTGTAAAAATTCATAATAATGACAAAAAATACTAATTTGTGCATCTCCTGATCTCCGTGTGCAGCTATGCTGCCGTTGTGGCTGGTGTATTCTGGGAAATTTTCTTACCCCTTTGGTTTCGAGTATGGTCCTTCCCCTTATGCCGAGTTCAGACTGCATGATTTTCAAACTAGTCGTGTCACAGATGTTTTCACACAGCTTGACTATCTGGGCTTGCGTTTCGTCGCTGCTTTGTTTGCACTGCAAGATGGATCGGCGACATGGACATTCACATTGCATGACTTTACTATAGGAAGAATCGCCGACAACTTCGTCTAAACTACATCTCACAGCCAAAAACACGTCGTATATCTTTTGTTATTAACTACATAATGAGAAAGAAGCCTTTAATGGGGTAGAACATGTACATGTTTGCTCACCTGGGTTTAAAGGGAATTAGCCATTTCTCCTCAATTTAAGTTGATAATAAACTAATTTCTTTCTGTATGAAACGTCAAACAGACACAGTTGCTCCTGAGTCCTGTCAAACCTCCACTAGTTTTCCTCCATTTCGTGGGTCCCAATAAACCGAAAAAGAGCGCTTTTAACTCCCCCCCAGCCTCCCGCTGGCCTGCAGCAGGTATACACACACACACGCACACACAAGTGAATGCTGCTCTCTCATTGGCTGTAGGCGATGGCTGATGTTATTTTCAGTCAAAACTCAATTCACACGGCATCATTTGAATCGCCGACAGCTCCAGATATTCAGCACGCCAAATATCTCACAGGCATCGGCGACTCATCTGTGATTCTCTCAGATCGCGTCTTTGATCGTTCATACTGTGTGATTGTCACTCACGTGCACGAGCAGCGATTTGCCTGTGATTTCAGGCATTTGTCGGCGATTTCTCAAAACCTGTCTGGGAGTAAAAATCGGGGCTAAAATCACGCAGTCTGAACTAGGCATTAGCCCTTCGCCTTCAAGATGAAGAAAACTGGGACACCCCTACCCCTCGGTTTGCGCATTAACGTGAAGGGAAAGGCTAAGAGGTAGAATAGGGACTGAGCCTAACGCTCCCCAAACCCCTTTCCCCAACTTCCTGAATGAAATGCCTACTTTACTACATCCAATCAGCTTGCAGTAGAAAAAAACAAACCACACTCACTGTTTTCTCACTTAATATTCTGTTTCTGTAGAAACTGCGTCACAATTTGAAAAAAAAAAAAAAACTCAGCTTCTGGTTCATGCAGACTTTAATGTGATCAGTCAACCGAGGTGGTATGGTTATAATTGTATCTAATAATTCCCCTGCAGTTCTATTAAGAAGAATGTTTAAGTTAAAAATTATTTAATATTATAATATTACTGTTAATATTAATAATATTAACAGTTGGTTAATCGTTTTCATTATTGTCATTCGTTCTTAATGTTGCGGGAATATCGTTTCTTTGAGAAAACACTCCATCCAAATGATTAGATCAGGGTTCAGACAGTCATGTAACGCCTGGAAAAAAGTCATGGAATATTTTAAGGTAAAGAAAAGTTCTTGTCCAACTGCTCGTTATCAAAAATTTCTAATCAGCCAATCACATGGCAGCAACTCAATGCACTTAGGCATGTAGACAAGACGATCTGCTGAAGTTCAAAGCGAGCATCAGAATGGGGAAGAAAGGGGATTTAAGTGACTTTGATCGTGCCATGGTTGTTGATGTCAGACGGGCTGCTCTGAGTATTTCAGAAACTGCTGATCTACTGGGATTTTCACACACAACCATCTCTAGGGTTTACAGAGAATGGTCAGACAAAAAGAAAATATCCAGTGAGCGGCAGTTCTGTGGGCGCAAATGCCTTGTTGATGCCAGAGGAGAATGGCCAGACTGGATTAGCTGATAGAAAGGCAACAGTAACTCAAATAAGCACTCGATACAACCGAGGTCTGCAGAAGAGCATCTCTGAACACACAACACGGCCAACCTTGAGGCGGATGGGCTACAGCAGCAGAAGAGCACACCGGGTGCCGCTCCTGTCAGCTAAGAACAGGAAACTGAGGCTACAATTCACACAGACTCACCAAAACTGGACAATAGAAGATTGGAGAAACGTTGCCTGCTCTGATGAGTCTCCATTTCTGCTGACACATTCAGATGGCGGGGTCAGAATTGCGCTTCAACAAGTGGTGGTGTAATGGTGTGGGGGAGATTTTCTTGGCACACTTTGGGCCCATTAGTACCATTAATTAATCATTGTGTCAACCCCACAGCCTACTTGAGTATTGTTGCTGACCATGTCCATCCCTTTATGAGCACAGTGTCTCCATCTTCTGATGGCTACTTCCAGCAGGATAACACACCATAAAGCGTCATAAAGCGTGAATCATCTCAAACTTGAAAAATGTGCATTTTTATGCGCATTTTGGATGTGCGCATAAAAATCTGTTGATGGCGAATAAACTGCGATGGAAACACTTTTACCGCATAAAATGCGCATTAAAAAAAGTGTTGTGATTCTGTTATAAGTGATGATACAAATGTGATGATGAAAATGTGTGTGAATGGATAAACCAGCAGGCTGACCACAATATAAAATATCTGAAATGTTATTTTGGTCATTCTAAATCGCCTTACCGTTTCATTACTAGTGTTATTATATTATTAATGACCTCCAGAATCAAGAGTGTCTGTGCTCCTCGTCTGCCACCTTCAAACCCCACCGCGCAATCACTGCGTGTCATTTATGAGATGAACAAAATATTGACGCAGCTTCTTCTACCGCAGTAAAATCAGTTTTTACTGTTGATATTTGCCGCTAGTTAGTTAGCAAGTGACGTTTTTGTTCGCTTTGACTCGTTGGATAGAAACGCAGGTTTATTCGCACATCTTGTTTGCGAAAATCCAGTTTCATTCGCATTTTTCTCTGAGTCGCAACAGCGAATCTATTGAGTGAATCATGAATCGGATTGAATCATAATTTGTGTTTTTATCAGGCTCCTCCAGGGCTGAAGAAGAACCTGAAGCGCACATATGAGTCGTGGAGCGCGGAGCAGATCAGTAAAGGTGGTCTTCTGGCTCGGGCTCAGTCTCTCTTCTGTCTGGCCTGGTTTCACGCCGTGTGTCAAGAGAGACGCAACTATATTCCACAGGTACACACGCACACACATCTTCATACAAACAGACAGAAACGCTCTTCCTCAGATGACCTCTGGAAGTTTTGCATTTGTTTTGGCTGATTAATGCAGTCTCTGAATTAAAGTGCTTCACGTCAGGCCTTTGAAGAGCTCCATTTAATTAACTCTCTCTCTCTCTCTCTCTCTCTCTCTCTCTTTCTTTCTCTCTCTCTTTCTCTCTTTCTCTCTCTCTCTCTCTCTCTCGCTCTCTCTCTCTCTTTCTCACTCTCTCTCTCTCTCTCTCTCTCTCTCTCTCTCAGGATCTAATAAACGGTGATGGAGAAACAGATTTTATTATTAGTTATTATTAAATTATCAAACTTATTATTATTCGTTCATTAATTTCCTTCAGCTTAGTCCATTATTTATCAGGGGTCGCCACAGCGGAATGAACCAACAACTATTTTAGCATATGTATTACGCAGGGGATGCCCTTCTAGCTGCAACCCAGTACTGGAAAACAACTTATTATTGGTAAATTATTATTATTAAACTTATTATTGTTAGTTTTTTATTATTATTAATAAAAGTAAAGAGTATAAATTATACTATTAATATAATATCTTCAGGAAAGCATTAATAATTGGTAAAAGTACATTTATTACTGTAACAAAATGGGAAAATAATATATTAATAAATTAAATAAATAAATTACATTAAAAACTATGTCAAGTAGTGAAAATCTCATTAAAAGCATCCTCACATTTTTTCATTGTTTCAAAAATCTGTCATAAATATAAAAACGATGGCATTAATAAATTCTAAATTAACAATAATTACTAAATTACTAAAAAAAATTAACTAAATGACAATCAAAAAAGAGAGTTAAAAAGAATTATAAAAAAGTATTTCCTTAAAATGATAATGAATCATTTTTAATTGTAAATCTTTTGATGATGTTTTTGTGATATTAGCATATAACAAATGCATGTGTGTGTATGTATATACTTTTTGTTTCTTTTATGTGTATATATACAAACACACACACACCACACATATATAAAACACATTAAATAAATAAAATGGGGAAGGAAATTTTAGGTTGGCAAAGTAATCAGTTTAAATATTTAAATGAAATATTTAAATTAAATGAAGATATTTAATGAAAGAGTCATGTAAACAATGTTTTTAATTTTAAAATCACATAATTTGATGTGCGTTACTACATCATCATTTTACAATTACTAAAACTCATATAAAATGTTTGCTTCTTCAACACTTCAACATGGCATTGGTCTTTTTCAGCATTAAAGGTGCTGTATGTCAGTTTTTGACTCTTCTAAAGCATAATAACAACATAATATTTTTGCAGATATTCAGAAACATGCTCAGTGAAGATTCTTGTTTATCTGAAAAACAATGCTGAAGTCAGATTTTCTGCTTTGAAAATGTGAGTTATGTGCCGGAATGACTGTCTTTGTTTTGGTTCTTTTAACCCGCCCATTGCCAGTTTAGCCAATTATATTTCAGCACCCGGGTTGCCTTGGAGGATAACAGAGTATTTCATTCATTCAGTCAGGAAGGCTATCAAAGCATGCGTCCTGCGGTGGACAGTAGCAGACTCTGAAATGAGACGCAGATTCAGAGTTCCACATGAGGTGGTTATTAATTAGTAAATAATATAAATATTATGAGCGTAAACTTTAGGTAAACAGGGTACATTGTAACCCCGTGTTCTAATAACATGCCATGTGATGAGATTTGCAGTGATAAGCAATTAGGCTGTTTACACCAGACGAAACACGACAGAAATGTAAATACAGCCATTCAGAAGCACACAATAGTGCACTCACTGCACTCCAGCCAAATGGTAAGGTTTATAGGTATAGGTATAAGGCAGGGGCCACCAATCTCGGTCCTGGAGGGCCGGTGTCCCTGCAGGGTTTAGCTCCAACTTGCCTCAACACACCTGCCTGGGTGTTTCAAGTATACCTAGTAAGACCTTGATTAGTTTGTTCAGGTGTGTTTGATTAGGGTTGGAGTTAAAGTCTGCAGGACACCGGCCCTCCAGGAACAAGTTTGGTGACCCCTGGTATAAGGTATACACATTAAACCTCAATAACATGATTACATGTAGATGCTGAATCTCTGTTATGTGTTGCAGTTCAATTTCAGACAGTATTTTCAAAATCAGAGGTAAACTATCTGCTGCTGCTTTCAGTAGTATGACAACAAATCTCATGTAAAATGGCGTTTAACACTGACTAAAGCACATTAGGTGTACCTGAGGTGTCGTTGTGCAGTTGTGAGAAATCAAAGCCATTTCTAAAATATAAATTTCAGGTGTTGTTTCGGACAAAAACTCCTTTTAATATGGAAAATATTCCTTGTATTGCGTCCAGTTGCTTTTAGTTAGAAAACGGTTTAAATCAGCCCTAAATCAGACTTTAGGCTCGATAGTCACGCACTCTCATGTCAGTCTGGCAACTTGCACCTGCGTGGATTGTTACAGAAGAAGCAGAGTGAAAATGTGTTTTGATCCAGGGGTGCAATACCTAGTTCAACCACTGGGTGTCAAGCTTACATACTGCAGCTTTTAGAACAGCAAAACCTGCCTGATTTGATTGATCTCAATCATTTTGACACAGCTCTGCTTGAAGGCTGAGGCAGATCAATCAGAAAAATCTGATAGTCACTGGTTCCAGTCTCAGCTGGGTCAATTGGCGTTTCTGTGTCGAGTTTGCATGTCCTCCCCATGTTGGCGTGGGTTTCTTCCAGGTGCTCGGGTTTCCCCCACAGTCCAAACACATGTGCTATAGGGGAATTGATTAACTAAACTGGCCGTAGTATGTGTGAATGTGAGAGTGTATAGGTGTTTCCCAGTATTAGGTTGCAGCTGGAAGGGCATCCGCTGCGTAAAACTTATGTTGGAAAATTGGCGGTTCATACCGCTGTGGCGACCCCTGATAAATCACCGACTAAGCCGAAGGAAAATGAATAAATGAATGATTATTACTTTGTGGCTGCTGGAATCTAAATAGTATGTATATTATAATACTCAAGATGAATTCACGTACGGTTTTGTCACAGCTGGATGTTTTGACTACAAATGATTTTGATATGATTACATGAGGATTGTGGTCTGTGGCTGATTTGACGAAGCAAAACATATGCTGGAATAGTTAGTGGATCTATCCACTGTGGCCACCTCTGAAATCGAGACTAAGCCAAAGAAAAAATGAATGAATTGGTGATGGGGATTATTGCGTAAAATTGCTGCTGAAGCAGCAGAGCAGTGCTTTTACATCAGCAGCTTTTCCTCCTATGAAAAGGTTTTCTGTCAAACATTTGCCTAGCTGAAATAATGTCTGCTTGTGAAAAAAAACGGGAACAAAGAAAAGATGAATGAGTTCACTGTGTCCATGGAAATTCACGTCTGGCTTTTGAAAAATCACTTCATATTTAATCATGATTCAGACATTTCGAGAGTGAGCTGCTGTTGCGCAAGCTGAATATATGAACCGATTGTGATGATGATGATGATGATGATGATGATGATGTGTTTATGTATTTTTCACAGGGTTGGACAAAGTTCTATGAGTTTTCTCTGTCAGATCTGAGAGCCGGCTTCGAGATCATTGACCGTCTGTTTGAAGGTGTGTATTATCTATTCGTGTTGTACATTGATGTGTGTGTGCACTCCAGAGGTTGTGCTAACCGAATATTTTCCGTCATTGACGTCTCAGTGACGGACAAATCACAAAGGTGATCCGTCATTTTGAGTGTGATTAGTTGTAATTTGTAGCTAACTGTAATTCCCACTCCTGTCCAGCTGATGGCGATGTCGTTGTTTTGTCTCCTCTTTGTCACCGCTGCGTACAGTTGCAAAATTGTCACAGCAGCTGAGTGTGAGAAGTTTATTTAAACTGCCAAATTGATGTGATATTAATAATAAAGGTAAAAAAAAAAGAGGAAGTGATGCAGTGGACGATGAAGAACGAACAAAAATCCTCAGTCTCCGACAGCTGTTACGGCCGGGTCAACCAAGCGGCAGCATGTGAGGTGCGTTGGAGTGCGTTGTGAGCACTACCGGACTCAGAGGGGTGCAGAAGATGCTCGTGCTGCAGTTTTTATTCCAGATGAAACGAGTTCTTGCAGGATCGGGAAATCCCACATTCGGAGAATCCAGCAAACTTCTAAACACTTCCTTAGGAGAAATGTTTCCTAACTACAAAGCGCTGGCTGAAGTGGCGCAAGTAATTCCGGCCTCCAGTGTGGCAGCAGATCGCGGCTTCAGCCTCCAGAACAAATTTAAAACTGTCACGAGAAGTCGACTTTCCGAGGCGGAGACACAGAATTTGATGACAATTGCCTCTGCATCAGTCTCCCTTGATGCGTTTGATTACGCACGGGCAAGCGCCCAGTTCAGGTCGACGCAGGAGGAAGATATGAGTTAAGGCAGATATTTTTGTTCATTTGTCAAATAGCCTAAATAAATGAATAATTTAGCCGATATGCTCGTCGTACAAGTTCATTATTTAAATATGATTGAAAAAAGAGATTAGAAAATATGCAAGTTAATTGATGGTCAATAATAGGTTATGACGGAATTTTTACAACCCTCTTCGTCAAAATGTCGGACAATGAGAAAGTCTAACGCCACCTCTGGTGCACTCAAACCATTATTTTTGCTTCTTGTCCAAACTACTTCTTTAAAATGAGCTGAATTTACACAATTCCTTATATTTTTGGGGGGGCACAACTTAATTATTTCATGTTCGATCTACTTAAATTTGTCAAAACAGGTAACTTGATTTGTGTTGAGACTACATGAAGGAATTGTTTGTAGCATTTTTGTTTACTGTGTGTATCTGAATATTAAACGTAAAAAGTCTTATATATAATAACAAAATAAAACGTAACAGTTCAAAAGGGTCTTACATTTGCTAAAATATTTTCTAGCATATTAATGTTTAAATAATTATGTCAGTAACATGTTAACAGAGATTTTATTATTTTAGAGGAAAATAACTGCATTACTAACCATTGGAAAACCCGTAACGCTAACTTGGTCACCTAAATCATGTCTTAGCCAATCAAATGGTGGCTTTTTGACTCATTTCTGCATACTAGAGGCAAAGTTAGCATGAATTAGCTTTCAGACTTGTCTTCAATAGACAAATGTTAATTCATGTAGGCACTGTACTAGAACATGCTAACATTATGCTAATGAAAACCAGCATTGTGCTAAGATGTTAAAACTGCTGTCAACAACTTGAACATGCATATGCTAATTAATTTTGAAACATGAACTTCATAATTATTGCTTTAACACATCTTAGATTCAGAGGCATGTTAGCAAAATGTTCTTTTATGGTAGCAACATGCTAAATGTTCCTGCTTACTTCCATAGAGGCAGCGTTAGCCTAATTAGCTGTTATGCTTTTAGGCTGATGATTTCAGGCTTTCCTTTAATAGGCTTTGATGTTAATCCATGTTAGCATTGTGCAATATGCTAATGCTTACTAGCATTGTGCTAAGATGTTATAAGTACTGTCAACAACCTAAATGTGGGTATAGTAAATAATTTTGCAACATGCAATTCATAACCATAGCTTTAAAACATAAACATGCATATTATGCCACCATGTTACATGTTAGAAACATGCTAAAACGTGGTCAACTTAAAAGTTAACCATGTGCTAAAAAAATAATAGTTCATCCAACCATAATCTTTTGGAAATTATGCTAATGCTTTATCCCATTCTAACAACCTTTTGTTTACAGTTTAATGTAAAATTCTTGCTAATAATAAACTATGAGCTGAGACTTTTAGCTCAATAATCTCCTAATTTGCTGGTTAATAATATATATTAAGGTAGTAGTTGGGATTAGGGATGAAGAATAAGATCATACTTCATAAATGCTAATAATTTCTTCATAACACGCAGCCACTACTAAATTGTGAGAATTCTTTATTAGCACTTCATGCTAAGATAAACGTATGGCTAACAGCGCTATGTCTTTTTAATGCCTGCTCAAATTCTGATTCAGTAAACTTTGCTAGCTAGTGCTTGGTCTCTTGATCTTTGCACATGTTTGGTGTATTTTCCTCACTTTCCTTGTGTGTGTTTGTGTCAGGCGGGAAGGCGTTTCAGTGGGACTTTGTGGACGGTCTCCTGGAGAACATCTACGGCGGCCGCATTGATAACGTGTGTGACCTGCTTGTGCTGCGCTCGTACCTGCAGCAGTTCTTCAATGCTCAGCTCCTGTCACAGTCACGCAAGAAAACACATGCCTTCCCTGCTCAGATACACCTACCCAACTCCTGCAGCATAGCGGTAAGATCAAAGTCCAAAGACGGTGTTGGAGGAAGGTTGTTTGTCCTGGTTTGAACTGCATTGTTGTGAGTGATACTGTCTGAATTGATGGAATTGTGAATGTTGAAAAGTACTGTTTAATCCATTGTGTCATTCTGTCTGGAAAGGACTTAAGTGGTAGTAGTTTTCATTTTCAGCTTGATAATGATCCGCTAATTGCAGTGAAATACTATTTTTAAGAAAGGAAACATCTGATGAAACATTAGCTCCTTTCAAACATTGATACTGGTAAATATTACCGGAATGACTTTACCGGTAAGTTCAAAACAGCACTGTACACACAGGCAAGGACGTTACGGAATTTTTCCGGAAAAGACCATTCACACATCCATTCCACAACACTGGTAAATTCTCACATCATTAACCAGAAATGAGCTCTAAATGGCTGCGCTTTTTGTAAACATAGAAGGGGTCAGGCTTTTGCTGATGGTTTCATCATCATCTTCAACTTAACCTCACGGAAATGCTTGAAGTTTCGGTTCCACTTCATATTAAGTGGCCTTAACTAATGTTTAATAGTTTGTTACAATGTACTTATTGTGTAAATACATGTATTTACTGTGTACTTATGTTTGATTTAATACATGTATGTAATTACATCTGTAAGTAACTTTTGTAATTACATTTGTAAATACATTGTTGACCATCCCTTACACCTTAACCCACCCTCAAACCTACCCATACCACCAAACCAGTCCATAACCCAACCTCTATCCCAACTCAAGAGCACCACAAGTGTTCTCAAATACATTATAAACACAGTAAGTACATTGTATTTATTTTTTGATGTAAGTACATAGTAGTTAAGGACACTTAATATAAAGTGGGACCGAAGTTTCTGCCAACCCGACTCTACATCATAACTTTTCAATCCAGATGGATGGGGCAACCATTACTGCATCCAAAATGATGAAAAGTCTTGGAGTACCGATTGATGACCAACTAAACTTCTCTGACCACATTTCTTGAACTGTTTGATCTTGCAGATTCACACTCTATAACATCAGTAAGGTCCGACACTTCCTATCTGAACATGCAGCTCAACTCCTTGTTCAAGCTCTTGTTCTCTCCAGACTGGACTATTGCAACTCTCTACTAGCCGGGCTTCCAGCTAACTCTATCAAGCCTCTTCAGCTGCTCCAGAACGCAGCAGCACGAGTGGTCTTTAATGATCCTAAAAGAGCGCACATGTCACTCCGCTGCTCATCCGTTTGCACTGGCTGCCAGTTGCTGTTCGCTTCAAATTCAAAGCTCTGATGTTTGCTTACAAAGCGACTTCTGGCTTAGCTCCTTCTTATCTGCTCTCACTTCTGCAGATCTATGTGCCCTTCAGAAACTTGCGTTCTGTGAATGAACGTCGCCTTGTGGTTCCATCCCAAAGAGGGAAGAAATCACTTTCCAGAACTCTCACATTCAATCTGCCCAGTTGGTGGAAAGAACTCCCTAACTGCATCAGAACGGCAGAGTCACTCGCTGTCTTCAAGAAACGACTAAAAACTCAACTATTTAGTCTCCACTTCCCTTCCTAATCTGCAATTGACTCTCTGGCTCCACCACTAACTGTACTACAAAAAAAATTACTAATGTTTTTGCTTCTTACACTTTAGCACTTATTCTTTGTTGCTCTTATAGTTGTGTCAATTGCTTCCTTGTCCTCATTTGTAAGTCGCTTTGGATAAAAGCGTCTGCTAAATGACTAAATGGAAATGGTTTCACTTTTATTCAAAGTTTTAGCATGTCCAAGAGACATCCAAAGGCAGATGTTTACACATTTGACTACATTACAAATTCTGTGGCTGGATAAGTGTGGTGAACTTCGATGAAAATAAATGGAGGAACACTTTCACATGTCGAGATGTACATAATATGTGTGTGTGCGCTGTCACTCCTTCACGTGCACGCGTGTCAAGCAACTGAAGCAGAGCTTGAAGGTAAACAAACAGCTCTTTATCATGAGCATCTTATCGATAATTTGTCCACAGCTGGCATTAAGAAGGATCACAGAAACGTCTGGACAGATATTCAGAGGCTTTTATTTTCATAAATGGTGCAGATGTGAATGCGTCTGACTGTTCTGATTGGCTGGAGTAAACGTCTCACGTCAGCGCGTTCTAGATGTGAATACGCTCTTTCAGGCGATTTTCCTTCTGCGTTTACACAGAGCAGCATTCCGGCAAATTACCGCTAATCTTACAACTTCTCTTTCCAGAAGTAATTTATTGGTATTTTCATAAAGGGCCTGTTCACACATACAGACCTTTCCGGAAAATTGCTGTTAATTGCTGGACAGTCATGAAATGGCCTCCACAGAGTCCATACCTGAATATTATAGAGTCTGTATAAGATCGCCTAGACAGAAAAAGAAAGATTAGCACTCTAAACCTTAAGAAGATTTCTGGAAAGTGCTAAAGAAAGCCTGATGTCATTACACAGCACATCATTTCAGACAATGTCAGGACAATTAGAACAAAACAGTTGGCAATGGAAGCCACGTTAAACATAGACTTTTGCTTGAAGAGGAAGTGTAGGGCTGTTGTTGTTGTTGATTCCCTATATTTTCTGTTTGTTTTAAATAAAGAGACTGATTGATTATAAATTGTGCCAACGTCTTATGCCGAGTTCAGACTGCATGATTTTCAAACTAGTCGTGTGTCAGATGTTTTCACACTGCATGACTATCTGGGCTAGCGTTTCGTCGCTGCTTTGTTTGCACTGCAAGATGGATCGGCGACATGGACATTCACATTGCATGACTTTACTATAGGGAGAATCGCCGACAACTTTATCCAAACTACGTCTCACAGCCAAAAACACGTCGTATATCTTTTGTTATTAACTACATAATGAGAAAGAAGCCTTTAATGGTGTAGAACATGTACATGTTTGCTCACCTGGGTTTAAAGGGAATTAGCCTTTTCTCCTCAACTTAAGTTGATAATAAACTAATTTCTTTCTGTATGAAACGTCAAACAGACACAGTTGCTCCTGAGTCCTGTCAAACCTCCACTAGTTTTCCTCCATTTCGTGGGTTCAAATAAACCAAAAAAGAGCGCTTTTAACTCCCCCCCCCAGCCTCCCGCTGGCCTGCAGCAGGTATACACACACACACAAGTGAAAGCTGCTCTCTCATTGGCTGTAGGCGATGGCTGATGTTATTTTCAGTCAAAACTCAATTCACACGGCATGATTTGAATCGCCGACAGCTCCAGATATTCAGCACGCCAAATATCTCACAGGCATCGGCGACTCATCAGCGATTCTCTCAGATCGCATCTTTGATCGTTCATACTGTGTGATTGTCACTCACGTGCACGAGCAGCGATTTGCCTGTGATTTCAGGCATTTGTCGGTGATTTCTCAAAACCTGTCGGCGAGCCAAAATCAGGGCTAAAATCACGCAGTCTGAACTAGGCATTAGACCAACAAAGCTGGCTTAGTGCTTAGTACTTTTGCACAGTACCTATATATCAATGAACTATAAAGTTGTTGAGTAAATACATTGTTGGAATCACCTTTAGAACAATTTTTTTAAACGATAAAACACTTAGAGCAAGGAACAATCCATCTCACACAATTTAAAGGAGATCTATTATGTCCACTTTTACAAGAAGTCTCTAATCTCCCTAAAGTGTGAAGATTCAGCTCAGAATAGCACACAAATAATGATATATATCTCTCTGAAACTGACCCTTTTAGGCTTTGATCCTGACTGTGCTGTTATGGTGACTGTCGCTTTAAATGCAAATTTGATTGTGCTCTTTTTAATAGAGGGCGGAGCTACAGATGCCTATGTGTCAGCATAGTGGCAGATGCAAAACTAACAGCAGGCAGCTGCTTCTCAGGGCTGTTTATGTAATGAGGGAGAGATGGTCACTAGTGGGCGGGGCTTTCCCCCTCTGATGACATAAACAATTGGAGAATGTCAAAGTGCATTCAAAATTTTCAGGACAGAATTTTCATGTCAGTACATCCCTAAAAAATACCACACCATAACGATATGATGAATGATGAATTACTGATATTACCCATAATGCATTGTGCGGTGGTTTGTGTGTGTGCAGGATTATCGTGTGGTGGTGGACGCTCTTCCCGAGGACGACAGACCCAGTTTCTTCGGCCTGCCTGCAAACATCGAGCGCTCTTCACAGAGGATCATCAGTTCTCAGGTGTGTGTTTGTGTGTGTGCGTGTGTGTGTGTGTGTGTGTGTGTGTGTGTGTGTTTGTGTGTATGCGCGTACATGTAAATGTCTGTGAGTGAGTTTGTGCGTGTGTACATGTGTGTGAGTTTGTGTGTGTGCGCGTACATGTAAGTGTTTGTGTGTGTGTACATGATCATGTGTGTGAGTTTGTGTGTGTGCGCATACATATAAGTGTTTGTGTGTGTGTACATGTGTGTGTGTGTGTGTGTGTGCGCGTACATGTAAGTGTCTGTGTGTGTGTGTACATGAGTGTGAGTTTGTGTGTGCATGCATTGTGAGTGTCTTTGAGTAAGTTTGTTTGTTTGAGAGTGTGTGTGTGTGTGCGAGTTTGTATGTGTTTATTTGTGTGAGTTTGCATATGTGTGTGTTTAAATGACTTTGTGAATGTTTGTATGTGAATGTGAGTTTGTGTGTGCGCATGTGTGTTTGAGTTTGTATGTGTGTGGGTGCATCTGTGTGTGAGTTTGCATGTGTGTGTTTGAGTTTGTGTGTGTGTATCTAAACGAGTGAGTTTGCGTTTGTGTGTGTGTGTGTCAATGAGTTTGTGTGTGCACATGTGTGTTTGAGTTTGTATGTGTGTGGGTGCATGTGTGTGTGAGTTTGCATGTGTGTGTTTGAGTTTGTATGTGTGTATCTAAACGAGTGAGTTTGCGTTTGTGTGTGTGTGTGTCAATGAGTTTGTGTGTGCACATGTGTGTTTGAGTTTGTATGTGTGTGGGTGCATGTGTGTGTGAGTTTGCATGTGTGTGTTTGAGTTTGTGTGTGTGTATCTAAACGAGTGAGTTTGCGTTTGTGTGTGTGTGTGTGTCAATGAGTTTGTGTGTGCAGATGTGTGTTTGAGTTTGTATGTGTGTGGGTGCATGTGTGTGTGAGTTTGCATGTGTGTGTTTGAGTTTGTGTGTGTGTATCTAAACGAGTGAGTTTGCGTTTGTGTGTGTGTGTGTGTCAATGAGTTTGTGTGTGCACATGTGTGTTTGAGTTTGTATGTGTGTGGGTGCATGTGTGTGTGAGTTTGCATGTGTGTGTTTGAGTTTGTGTGTGTGTATCTAAACGAGTGAGTTTGCGTTTGTGTGTGTGTGTCAATTAGTTTGTGTGTGCACATGTGTGTTTGAGTTTGTATGTGTGTGGGTGCATGTGTGTGTGAGTTTGCATGTGTGTGTTTGAGTTTGTGTGCGTGTATCTAAACGAGTGAGTTTGCGTTTGTGTGTGTGTGTGTGTCAAAGAGTTTGTGTGTGTACATGCGCACATGTATTTGAGTTTGGGTGAGTTTGTGTGTGAGTACATGCACAAGTGTGTGTGTGTGTGTGTGTGTGCGTGTGTCTGTGTGTGTGTCTGTGTGTCTGTGCATGTACGTGTGTGTAAGTGAAGGAGGTCAGGAGGGGTCAGAGGTGTTTTGAGAACATTGTGCTGAGCAGGACATTCCTCCACATCAAAGGTGTGTGTGATTGTTGTACTTTCCTGTGGGGTGGAGAATATAATGAGCTGACAGACAAACTACATTCACACATGCATGCATCTCTCCACATTTCTCCTGGAGGACTTTTACTTTCACACCCAAAACCTTACACACAAAACATTTTAGTTTACTTTCCAACATATGATTGTATGGACATTTATAACAATTTTTTTATTTATGTATTTATTTATTTTTAAATTGGGGAATTAAACATCTAATGTGTGATTAAACGTAGTTTATAGTTTAATTTAATAATTTATTCTTCGCTGCAGACGTTTTACACTGTATTACACTGATTTTCTACCAGTACAGCATAAACACACATTGCTTTGCATCTTATAAACACAACCAAGCTTTAAAAATACACTCTGGAACACCCCTTTAATGATCTTATCATTAGTTACTAAATAAAATGATGTATAGTAGTCTAATAGATTTTGATTCATTCTCCCACCATGTCTTGTGCAAATTAGTGGGTGGAGCTCCAGAATTTGCCATTGATATTCTTCAGTGGGGGCGGGGTATATCCTACATATGACATCATAGATTGACACATTCCAGGATCTGCTGTTTTCTGGGCCTGCTGTCAAAACAAACATTTATTTCAATAATAAATAAGATTTCCCCTCTGAAATGTACAAGATAACCTTCTGTACGATGATCTTAGTAAGTAAAAGTAGATTTCTCAGTCCATGACCTTTTTAGATGCTGCTGATTATGCAAAAACACACTAGAAAGACACCCAATCAAAGTCCAGCATGCAAATATAAGGTATAATGATGGTGGTTGCCAGGGCATTGCTATGTGGCTGCTAAGGATTTTAGCATGTCTGCCTGAACATCCTGTTTTACTGAATGAAATATGCAAATCACCCTCATTCAGCTCAATGTCGCTCACACACACACACACACACACACACACACACACACACACACACACATTCTCTTTGAGTTCAGATGTTACATCGCACTCCTATTTGTCACTGTCAGGTTTAGACTGATGTTAGCCACACACACACACACTGCTGTAGAGACTGTGTTTGTGTGTGTGTCTGTGTGTGTGTCTGTGTCTGTGTCTGTGTCTGTGTGTGTGTGTGTGTGTGTGTGTGTGTGTGTGTGTGTGTGTGTGTGTGTGTGTGTGTGTGTGTGTGTGTGTGTGTGTGTTTGTTTGTTGTAAGCTTTTGTAATGAGACCAATTTATCATGAGTAAGAATCGCCCACTGCAGCGTTTCCACAATCACAGAGAGATGGAGCATCGTTGCACAGTGAGAATATCTGTGTGTGTGTGTGTGTGTGTGTGCAGGTGATCTCTCAGCTGAGGATTCTGAGCAGGCCTGTCGCAGCAGGATCTAAGTTCGACAGAGAGATCTGGTCTAGTGCGCTCTCACCTGTGCTCAACCTGTGGAAACGGCTCAACCAGGTACCAAAACGTCACACGCAAGGTTTTAATTGAATTTGATGTATATATTGGATCTATATATATATATATATATATTGATATATTTGTGCAGTGATTTTTTTATTTATCCAA